CCCCACCCACCATCCCCCAAACAATTTCCGTGCCAAGATGAAGAGGAGGCCCCAGGCTGTGGGGAACTCCTTGTCTTGAGGGGCTGCTGCAGTGGTGACAGGGCACAGGGTGGGCGAGACACAGCAGCAGTCCTGGCCGCATGGCCCAGTTCCCTGGTATCTCCTCCCTCAGGCCTTGTTACTTATTCAGGGAGAGCGACTGCATTCGTTTTCCTGACAAAGTTGCGTCATCTTTTGCTAAGAGTAGAAAGGGAAGGAAAGGGTAGTTAAAACAACCCCTCCACATATCCAACCCCACTCCCAGAATCGAATCAGAACTCTAAGTCTGATAGGCCTCAGAAAACATTTGTGCAACTGGTTCACCAGGCAGAGAGGCCTGCCTGATGCCCTCCAGCAGGAAAAGGATTTCTGCTGAAGCCACTGAACGCTGGTGTGCAGACATTCTCACTGAGTTTGGGGCCCATTCCATAAACACACACCAACACCCAATCCAGGACTCATAGAAACTCTTTTTACACCGCCCCTGGCAGAACTCAGTAATTCCAATCTCTCCCAGTAGATGCTGAATTCTCTAAAATCAGCAACAATGTTCAGAGTTACACAGGAAGTCCTTTCCTGCTTGGGATTTGTGAAGCAAGAGCCGCTAGCAGGGAGCTGGGATAACCAGCTCATCTCCAGTGTGGTAACAATGCCCCTGGATAATTGGTTTCCCATTTCTAGGCCTCAGTTTCCTTGCTATTTGGTGCAGAGGCAGGATAGCAGGATCCCTAAGGGCTCTCATGGTCCCACATGTAGAATGCAAGAGATGAAGACATAAAAACATGAGTCAAAACGCTCCTATAAACCAGACCAACTCCCACAGTGAACCTGGCCAACAGGAACCCTCTACCACCTTTGGCCCACTGGAGGGAGGACATGGAGAAAGGATACTTGGGCCAGATTTCATCTGAGTCTGCCAGGAAACCCAGCCCACCCTGCCCCACCTCCCCAAGCCCCTCACACAGACAGCGGTTATCCCAGACAGCTCTCCCAGCCACACAAGGCACCAGACTTTGGTGGGACCTTCCAAACTCGAAGATCTGCACTTAATATATCCCTGAGGCCTCTCTCAGATGCCATAGACAGTGCTCTGCTGAAGTTCAAACCCATATTTAACCCTATGCTGCTATGGGACCCTCCCAGCACCCTGGTGGGGAGGGGTTAGGAACTCCCACTTCCACCTAACAGTGAGGAAGGTGCATACACACAGGGTGGGCCTCTACCAAACAATCTGACCCCTCCCATTCCACAACAAGGACAATGAAGTGCAGCGTTTATGCCCAGAACCAGTCAGGCAGTGCTCCAGTGACTCGGGACTTACCTTTCTTTTCTTCTTCTTTCTTCTTGGCAGCTTCTTCCCGCTGTTTTCGGATAATTGCCAGCCGGGCAAGGTCTGCTTTGGCTTGCTCTGTTTTCCCAGCTAAATGCATTTTCATGTAACGTTCTTTTGCTTTCTGCTTCTCAATTTCTTCTCTGTTTGAATAAAATAGTGTCACAGGGGACATCTTCCCCACCTTTATCAGCTGAGGTAGATGTGGGAGCCAGAAAAATGGCCAAGTACTCAGGCCTAGGCCCAAGTGATGGAGGATCCCCTGGCTAAGGGAGGGGCCCTGGCTCCATGTCCCCCTCCCTGATGGATACTCACCAAACAAAACACGCAGAGGGACCAGTCTGGACCTCTGCATGGCAGGCTCAAGGGGCTGGGGGAAAGCTCAAGTTATGTACTCAGCCTCCTCAGATGGAAAACACAGGATAAGGGGTAGGCTCAGGGCCTGTGTCCTTGGGAAAGCCTTAGCACAATATGGACCATGTCTGGCTGGGATAGTGAGGGGTGGGCAGGGTGTGGCTGACTAGGATCTGGTGTCCACAGTGAGAAAGGAGAACCAAAACCAAGTGAACTGTGTCCACAGAAGATGACCAGGAGAAGGAAGGCAATGGAAATCACATTCTATAAGGGGTGGAGAAAGGAGTGAACCAAGTGGCCATGGATGGGACTAGGCACACCCAATCCAGGTAGACACGACATGGCACATTCTCAATCAGTGCAGCTCAGATGTGCATGAGGTTGCCCCCAAGGGGGTGAGCCCCCATTGATAGGCGTGTGAATAAGAACTGGACTCCCATGGGACAAAGGTGACAGCCACCAACACCATAAGTAGAGAGAAGGAAGGGTCATTAATTTCCCTTTGAGGATCTTCTTCCCAAGCCTGAAATTCTGAACTGGAATGGGCCCCCGCCAGAGTATGAGATTAGAGTGTCTCATTTACACCAGGTTCTTGCAAGAGCCGATTTTGGAGGTGGCAGAGAAGTCCTGCCTGGCAGGAGGTTGGGGAAGGGAGAGACTTAGCATACCACAGGCCTCACAGCACACAGGGCTGGGGAGTAATGAAAAACAAGGTCTGGGGCATGGCCAGAGGGGAGGGGAAAAAACCCCAGCAATCAAAGTTGGATGTGCAGATGTCTCACCCAGAAGACTGGACAAAGCACTTCCTAAAAAGATGAGACAGGAATACCTGTCAGCCTACACCAGGAGGGAGGGGCGCACGGAGGCATCTGGAATGATAAGCAAGGTTGCCTGAAGGCTCTGCAGGGCCCCCTCAGTGAAGGCTAAGTGCCAGGCAGGGTGCAGGTCTCTATGGCTTTCACTCTGCAACCCAACAGGCAGGAGCAGCAACAGGATCCCTTTTCACTGGTGAGAAGGAATCTACTGGAGGAGTAGATTCTAATCACACCCCAAGCTTGTGGACCTTCCTCATGGGTTTTCATAGACCTTGTGGGATTTTCACAGACCCCATCATGGAGCCAGCACAGGGAGATGAATTTAAATCCCAGCAGCCTAGTCAGAAGAAAAAACAGGGCAGCTTTCCCTAACGACCTTCAACCTCTTATAAGGCCTTTGATGTCACCTGGCAGCCATCAAAAGTCAGGTTACTGCTTATGGAAAACTGGCCGTGTGCAGGGCACCTTGGTACTTGACGATGATCCTCACACAATCTATAAGGAAGCTATCTGCTGCTCCATTTTCACCTAAGACTTGGAGAGGGCTGGGCAGCCAGTGGATCTCTCTGCACTGTGCTGTCTTCTGGACTCCACAGGCCCCAAATCCCCTCCTCATCTCATGGCCATGACATTACAGATGGATACAGGCCAGGAATGATGAGATCAGACTGGATAAGGGAAGTGTCCCTGGAGTGGGGTGCAATGGAAGCAGGAACTATGGCAAAACCCTCTGTAACCCTGGGGATTACTTCAAGTGCAAAACTCAGGTCTGAATCTGCTCTCCTGTTTCTATTGGTGAATTTTAAAATTCTTTTTTGTTTGGTGGAGAAGCTTCTAGAGCAGCGGTCATCAACCTTTCGGACCTTATGGACCACTAGTGGTCCGCAGACCACCAGTTGGCGACCACTGCTCTAGAGAGCCTTTAGGGCAGCGGTTCTCAACCTGTGGGTCGCGACCCCTTTGGCGGTTGAACCACCCTTTCATAGGGGTCGCCTAAGACCATCCTGCATATCAGATATTTACATTACGACTCATAACAGTAGCAAAATTACAGTTATGAAGTAGCAACGAAAATAATTTTATGGTTGGGGGTCACAACATGAGGAACTGTTTTAAAGGGCCAGAAGGTTGACAACCACTGCTTTAGGGAATGAGATGAAACAGAGATCAACACCATAGCTGAAGCCACTGGAGACCTCAGAGCCCAGGAAGTGGGGGCCTCAGTGGAGGTGAGTGCCTCAGCCTCCACAGGTCAGCCCCTGGCCTGTGTGCTAAGGTCACCAGGCCCAGCAGCAGAGGTTACCGTTCTCTCCTTGAAAGCTCCTTGGGCCCATCCAAGTCCAGTTGTGTGACTTTTTTGGTTGTCTGTGCCACTCGGTTGGGGTTCTCGATGTCGATAAGGCCTTCCACACCTTTGCGCTTTTGCTAAGATAGGACAAGAAGTGGCTGTTGGAGAAGTCCTGCAGAGCCCCCGAAGGCCACTTCCAACATCTCCCAACAGCCCATCTGGATGGGGACAAACTCCTGTTCCACCCAGCCCACCCCAGATGCTTGGCCCAAAACCTCACAGGATTGTCTTTACCAGCCTGGGAGGTACAAGGAGAGCGAGTGCATATGACTTAGAGCCCAACCTATGCTAAGTCCCAGCAGCCAGGGATTATTATCCCACTTTCAAGGGTGATAAAATGGAGGCACAGGATTAAATAACTTGCCTAAGGCCAACCAATAAGTAAACAATAGATGAGATGTGAAACCAAGCCCAAATCAAAATCTCCCAGCACAGAGCACTCACTACTCCTCCACTTTAAGTTCAGACTCCCTAAGCTGTTTTCCATGGAATCTCACGCCTGACTACAACATGCAATGCTGGATCCCCAGAGTACAGTGGGCCAGTGATGATCTCAGGACCAATTCTAATTCCTAGCCATCTAAGCTGACAGGAGGGAAATGTGACTTTAGCCATCAGATCATAGCCTATGAGTTTTGAATGCTGGCCCAAATACCTGGAGCCTGCACCTCCCACATCCCAGAGAAGTTCAGAAAGAAATGAGAGCTCAAGTTCTTGATGTAGTAGATTTGGTCAAAGTATCAGACCCTGTCAACCCCATCTTTCTCTTTAATAAAGTGACCAGAAAGATAGCTTCTAAACACCAGTCAATCTGACCACTATACAGAGCTACAGATACCTATATCCAATCTGGCTACATATATGCACCTCAACTTGGATAATTGATATCACAAACTTAATGTGTCTAAAACAGAACTCAAGATTCACCCCCAGCCACCCTGCTCCTCTCCAGAATCCTAAGCATGGCCTTATTCCTTCTTACCTCAGCCCCCTCACCCAACCCTCAACAAACTCCACTAAGTCTATCTCTAAAATATGGCTTGAATATGCCCACTTTTCTGCACTGCCATTGCCACCACCCTAATATAAATCACAAATTCTCGTCTGGATACCTACCAACATCTCACTGCTTCCCAAACTCAACACCCCACAATTCACTCTTTGCAGAGCAGCCAAAACAATATTTTAAAAGCAAATCTGGTCCTCTCTCTCTCTCCAACTTCGAGACCTCCACCAGCTGCCCACTGCCCACCTGCAGTGAAACCCAAACCCCTTCAACAGCCATACCAGAGCTGCTCTTGCCAACGTTTCCTCCTTCATCCCTAACCACTGTACTCCTTATCCACCAAGTCACAGTCCCACCAACTTCCTTCTATTTTTTAAACATGATCAGGTCGTTCCACCCCAGGAACTTTGCACTTGCTAATCTGGCTACCTCGACTGCTCTGCATGGCCGGCTCCATCTTGTTTGAGATCTCAGTTTAAAAGTAACCTCCTTACCACACACTACTCCCAAGTATCCTTGATCACAGTCCATTTTATCTGTAATACTTCTCACTACTTGAAATTACACCGTTCATTTACTTCCCTATTGTCCATACAATTATATGCCCCTTAACAACAGGGATACATACTAAAAAATGCATCATTAGGCGATTTCGTCATTGTTCTAACATTAGAATATACTTACACAAACCTAGATGGTATAGCCTAAGTAAGTGTACGTGCTATGCATTTACATGACTGGTAGGTTTGTTTACACAGCCTCACCATAAACATTTTGTGAGAAATGCATTATACCACAACTAGAGGCCCGGTGCACAAAAATTTGTGCACTCAGGGGGGAGAGGGGGGTCTCTCAGCCTGGCATGTGCCCTCTCGCAGTCTGGGACCGCTCGGGAGATAATAACCTGCTGGCTTAGGCCTGCTCCCGG